CCGCTTTGATTGCTAGCGTAATTTGTCTGTCATGTCCCTTAGGACATATATGGTCTCACACTGTCCTGGTCCCGACATGACCAAACCCACTTTTGGGATATTCCGCTTTGATTGCTAGCGTAATTTGTCTGCCATGTCCCTTAGGACATATATGGTCTCACAACTCATATGAAATTGGAAGCCATGCGGATTCTCCATATATTTCGCGCGCACTATTTTGCACTGGTCTTTACTTGGTCGTATGGTGCGCTCTAGATTTGTAACCGGGGTGGAACGATCGGCCTGCCTGAAACTCCAAATGGTAACACCGGTCGGTTCACAGGCGTCAAAAACACTTGTTATACATCTGCTTCTGTGGTCGCAACGCCAGAATAGCTAAACACGCCCACTCGAGCTGGGTCAGATGACACCTCCGTTCCACTCCAACTTCTCTTTCCCACTTCCTTGCCCTTCATGATGTGATGCAACGATGCTCACAGGCCAGAACCGGCTGTTATTCAAATGTATTTGAAACTTCTGGCTAACGAGGTCCCATTAATGTCTACCATACGATTCCAGAATGAGGCAAGCCAGGCATCCTCCTCCTAAATTTGTCCACCAACACAATGGTTAATTACTTTTGCTAACTTCAATCAAAGTGTCAATGATGGTGCTCCGCTACATGTCCAGTCCTTTAGGCAAGATTTATCAAGTCAACCAAATTTGCCCGGAAAAAAACAATGGCCTATCCACAACCAGTAGATTTATATGAACGGATGTTCTTAAACCAACTTTCTCTGTACAATAATGACGTCCCTGGGCACATTATTTATGGAGGAAGATCATCTTAGCCGATGATGTGAAGTCAACTTAAGTGCCCCCATTTCGTGTCGTTCGAGGGCTGTTTACAAAGTCCAGTTAAAAATTGACACTTGTTTCAGCAGTCCATTGATGCTGGGCTTCTGACTTCTCGACATCGTGTACTTTTACCCATATTACGGGTGTCCCTGGGCACATTACTTATGGAAGAAGATCATCCTAGCTGATGATGTGAAGTCAACTTAAGTGCCCACATTTCGTGACGTTCGAAGGCTGTGTACAAAGTCCAGTTAAAAATTGGCACTTGTTTCAGCAGTCCATTGATGCCGTGCCTCTGACTTCTTGACATCGTGTACTTTTACCCATATTACGGGTGCCACATACACTGCGGACACGGGGAACAGCGTACCGGGTACCGCGAGTGGGAAACCGCCGTCATTTAACCCTAGGCTTTTCCTACCCCAAGAGATTCAAAAACTTCTGTCCAAGTAAGGTTTAGACCCACACTGGAACCACACCTTATACTGTGCTGTGATCTGCTAGAAAATATCCAATGGTCCTAGATAAAACCTTTACCGGAAATCCTGTCAAAATCTCTCTGATGGCGGCCTGTAACATTGATTTTAAGTTTTGTGCCACATACACACTAACATATCCTGGGACACTGGTAGGCTCACGAGGAACGCTGTTGGTAGGCTCACGGGCAACGCTGTGAGGTGGTATGATGCTCCGGGCCGTTTCACGGCTTGTCCTCGCTGGCATTTATTACCTGACACCACACGATATTCCTTCAAGTTCTTCCGGTACGTCCATGGATTCTCCCCTATGTCGACCTTCTCTGGTGTGCTATGACCCCTTCCACCCGCACCCAACTGCTTGTTCCTTACCTAAAGAGATAATTTGCATTTTTTCAATGTAATACCACTTAGATACCATTGTTTGCACCACATATTCATTGCCAAAAGTTAGTTGGTGGCCCTCTCGCATACTTAAACAAATGCACACATGGGCTTCCGGGCGCATTATTCATGAAGGGCTGACATATACACCTAGCAACACGGATTCTTTAGCACAGGGGCTGGTATCGCTCCAAAAATTAAGCAGATGTGATGCTGTTTAGGCGCAAGTTCTCACGACCACTGGCGTTGTTGTGAGATTTGGGTGTTGACCTCCTCATGCACCGTTATTGGTTGTCCATGTCTACTCATGCGTGGATTTTGTCCATTTTTGGGTGCCGATATCGTTGCAGTATGAATGGTTTTCTGTTTTGTTCTCGGCCTTTCTTTTGTGGACCAGATGCTTCAGTGCCGGGTGCTCCAAGATGGCATATCAAGTCGCGTCAAATGGATTTTGTTTATTGTGAGACTCGGATGTTGACCGTGATCCTCACGCACCTTGGTGGTTGTTCAAGTCAATCCGTCCGTGGATGTCAAATTTTTCGGTACTTTGGTAGTCTTCTGGTTAGGGACGCATTATGGCAGACGGTTTGCGGTGAATTTATGAGTGTAACGACCGTTTCGAATTCTTGATTCGAAAACCCCATAGTTTCGGCGAACTCAATTTCGGCGTGTCAATAGCCTGCGGCGGGTATTCGTGACTTGGCACATATATGTACGAGTTTCTGGAAGAATTGTCCTGCATCCGGCGTGGAAGTTTCTAACGAAGTGACTACTTTATATACTTTATATATTGAAACTAAAGTACTTTCTATAAAGAAGATATATTCTTTACTGTATGTACTTGACAGGAGCTCAAAATAGGGGACATATGGGAGCATTATTCAGGTTGCTTGAGTTAAGGTCAGCCTGCAGAACCCAATTAGGTATTCTCGTTACCGACAAACCCACTCTAGTAAGCAAAAGTTTCTGGTTAGCAATGTGGTTGGGTCTCTAAATGCTGTTTTCACCGGACAGCTGCTTCATATACCTCGGAACTACGGGCATTGCTAAACATTCTTCGATTCAAATCTTCGATCCTCCGGTTTCTGACACCTGCATATACTTGGAGCATATTGCTGGATCCATGTTTTGGACCAATCAGTGGTTGACTTGAAGCCGCCGCAGCAAGTGGCCCAGGCAATTGACTAATCATGTGCGAGTTGGGCCTAAAACTCGCTGCGACACTGTAGTACAAGCATTAAAGTTTCGTGGTGCTGAGACGCAGTTTCCAGAGAAGGGGCCGGTGGCGAGTACGACACTCTCGGCTAATCATCTTGATTCATGTGACCAGACTCCTGGCGTCACTTGTCTTTCGTCATCTTATGGTGGCGCGCAAAACATTGACTCGAAAGCAGCTGCTACAGCAAGCCACCGGTGGCACTGTGTCTACTGGGCGGGAGTCCGGTCTGGTAGAGGTTGAGTTGGTCAACTCCTCACATACCTTCAGGTGCTAGAACAACGCCATACATATAAGCGGCTCACGATTTCAATATTCCTGCATTCCCGAGGCGCACTCAACTCAACTGACCAATCTGTTCTCCTTGACAAGACTCTCCAGCAAGGAGTACCCCGGATGTTTGTGGACAACATGAGTTTTTTGTATCCTCATATTTTAGGGCACGCGATAGTATACTAAAAGCTCTTCAAAAGCCGTCTTAAACAAAGTGGTGCCCAATGAGGATACCTACTCTCTGAATTCCTTTTTAATTTCGTGGTCGACGGGATAATGAGACGAACACTGGCGTTCAAATAGCTGCTGATGATAACATTGTCCATATGGAATGTTTAGATGACATCGATTTCCTATTTGGAGATGGATGGACTAACTTAAATCACCCCACCCGTTGGCATGCGTTTTAAACCCACCAAGTGGAAGGTCATGTTTCTGGACATGTAGTCACCGAACACGCCACTTACAACCCAAGGAGAGGCACTGGAAGTTGTTGAGCGCTTTCCGCGTCTTGGAAGTCATTTCGGTTCCGTTTGTAGTGCAACAGATAACTTAGATACAAGAATCTCTAATTCGGCGGTCGCGTTTGCTAATTTGTGACACCTGTGGTGGCAAAGCGACATATCCCTAATTTTCAAGGAACGTGTGTATCGTACTGCGGTAAAGGTTGATTTGGTGTATAGCTGTAAAAAGTGGGCTTTCCAGGTAGCCAATTTAAGACCCCTTTGGGTCTTTGATAACCGTTGTGTGACTTGAAGTTGTCACCTTGTCGTGGTGGTCGGGCTGCTGTGCTGCAATGAGCCGTTGGGCTATATTGGCTGGAACGGTCAATATGGTCGAAATACCTTTAAGACCAAAGAGTATGGTGCTACTCAAAAGACACCTGTCATGTGCAGCTGCACTAGGAATGAAGCAATAATGCCTTCCTCCGTACGCCCTCGGGCCAAGTCGGTCCCCAATAGCCAAATGGGCCAGAGTACTGAGTCTCTTTTTCCGGGAAGTATCCCCGGAGAAACCCCAACGACCACTGCATCGCTGTTCAGACTTTTGAGTCAGAGGCCGAAATTGGGGTGCTGCAGCCAAATCCTCTTCTTCGGCTTGGACAACCGGGAAGTATCATTCGCCCTTGCAGTTGATCGCTTACTGAGCTTCCCCCTACATTCCCTTACCCCCGTCGAACAATACAGTGTCACTAACCCATCTGACAGTCCCCTAGCCACTACCTCGTGTCTAGACCTTTGCCCAGAAAAATAAACCAACATGACCACCTACTAACGCTAAAAGATCTGATCCACGTTGCATCCTTCTATGTGTATACTCTATATCGAATAGGGCTGCCGACAACTCTTGCTGGGATTCTGCTTTCTTTACCTATCGATGTATGTTGTGTCTCTGACACACGCATACAAAGCCCCACTTCGGTCGCGCACCTTAAGCCGCTTAGGGCGAGGTCAGATGTCTCATATTTCACTCTTCGAACCCGGTTGTCATTTCGCTTTCCGTCAGCATTACGTGCGCGAAAGCAAAACAGTTTTATCCATCAACACAGGCAAGTTTCAGTTGATAAGGTTTATCGAGCTGACCTGGAAGCACAGTACTACAGACGATGAAAAGTATTTGGAGGCTGAATGGAATTGGGTTAATGGAGCTATATTCTTTGCTTTCAGAACAGTCTGTCGACCAAATAAGCATTGGATATCATCGAGATAAACAGATCTCACTGCTGCTAGATAGGCCGTGCGTGCAACTAGCGACTGTGATGGCGCGCACAAATCCTTCAGGTACCAGAGAATCTGGAGCTTGTAAAATGACAGGAAACGCTGGTGGATTTTGGAGGCCCAAGAGATGGAGAAGACTTTCGCTGCAGGCAACAGCCACGCCCTACCTCATCTGCTTCGATCAACCGGTAAAAAGAAGGCAGGTGTCAGTAAAACGATATGCGAACAAGACGGAATAGCAATTCACTCCCTCAATCGTCGTATTGAGCGATGGGCTGAACACTTCGAAGATCAGTTCAGCTGGTCTCCTTCAACACAATCGCTGGAAGAACCCAGCGGACCTGAATGGGACGTCGACAGCAGCGATCCATACTGCTTTATGGATCAGAAAGGTAGCTTCCACTCGATTGGGACATACGAAAATGTCAGTGTTTGATCATCCTTGTCTCCGGGGCATTGATCGGGTTTGATGGGAACATCTTTTCAGTAATGCTAAGGTACGCTAGGTGGCTTTAGGATTAACGAACTCTCACCCGACAAGTTACGCTCTATAGATTACGCTTGTTAGGACATGTAATCCGCATGCTTGAAGACCGTCTGTCTCGCAGAGTTCTTTCTGTCCAACCCTGCGCTGAGTGAAAGCGACCGAGAGGTGTACAGTGTTTGAATTGGCAACGAATTATGAAAACCTTAACTGGTAAGCTGAGTCGGGTGGATAGCTCCTCCCCTGGATGGTGACCCCGGAACTCAACTCACCAATGGTTAGTGACACTGACAGAAATGATCCAATGGCGCTAATGCGTCAGAGCTATCGCCTTCAAAGCCACCCAGTCCCCTAACCAACCAAATATGCCATTGCCTCCAAGCCTTGGCCTTATGTCCCCTACTCCCCCAATCTCTTGTTATCGAAACCGTAGCAGCTGAAACCATTGTGCTCATGACGCATGGCTTATAGCTGATAAATTGATTGAATCTAGACCGGTGTCTGAGACCCCTAGGTCTTGTCGTGTGTTGCCGACGAATCCGAGACAAGACATTTTGGAAACGTGTTTGTGCAACGAGGACTCAAATCAAAGAATGTTTTCGTCATCAGTACTCGCCACGCATTGCGCATTCTAAGATAACTCAGTGAATAAGGCGCGAATTTACTGGCCGGAAGGTTCATGGCTCGATCCCAATCTCAACATCTCGACTGGTCCTGCTCAGGCCTGAGCAACCTGACAGAGTCTCGGTTCTTGCGCTCCCTTCGGGTGGCATGGCAGCTAAGCATCGAAAGGGTGTTACAGCCGAACAACGAAGAAAGTGGTTCAAGTAGAGGAGTGGCCGAGAGGTGTGAAAGATATTATAAAAAGTCCGAGTACTGTCGATGCACTATCCTTTTTGGATCGAGTCCATGTGATTTCCCCTGTGCCTGTTTGGAGACACTAGGATGTGTTACTGGTAATCGATGTCAGCGGCGTTATTGTTGTCAGTTTCTATCAAGGTTGCTTGATTTAGTGTTTTGAGGTGTATGCACCCGGGCATGGTTGCGGCAGGCTAGCACCATGTCCTTCCCCCATCTGCTTTTATTCCTTTCTTTACAATATGGCTTTCAATTAATTCATGATTGTACCCCACTGAAGCATCAGTGATGAACATTGGTATTATCTTATCTGCAATCATAATGACGTCGATGCCAGTGAAGCTGCCGCTGTTGCTGATGACGATGGTGAACGAATCGTTAGATCGTATCAGCTGGGACGTTCGTCTAAATACCGCCAACCCTAGTGTCAGTAAAAATTCTCAAAACATTGTTGATTAACAGACTGGAAGTGGGGTTCAAGGCGCTCGGTTGCTGTCTTGATTTACTCTATTGTAGCTAGCTTTTACTGGCGTAGCGATCGGTCGTGCGAACAGCATGTGCTCATGCTAGACTATCAGGTGGGATGTGCACAACTGCATTGTTCTTTAGCGTATCTACTATAGTCTAGACTACATCCTTGTTTGACGTGCAAGTCACTCGCAAGCTTTACTTTATTTGATGCGCATAAGCGGAGGCTGTAATTCATTATAATGAGTGAACAAACTGTGTTGCTCATCCTGGATTGGTTGAACGCCAGTAATAGTTCACTGTTCTCGTTCCTCTGAAGGTTCAGTGGTTCAAATCCCATCCCCGCTGTCCTGTCCCAACCGACAAATTTCTGCTAAACGCATTTCACATCCGATCACATGCGTCGTCTTTTCGGTCTCAGTTTTCAACTAACAGACGGTCGTTCTGGCGACCCCGAAATATCATCAGAGATGGCTCAATTAGCTAGAGCGCTAATTTACTGACCGGAAGGTCCGTCCTTCGAACCCACCTCTGCCTCTCGACTCCCTCTGCCTTTGGGCGACCTGGCAGTATCCTAGCCGTCGTGCCCCCTTTGGGTGGTGTGGCAGGTAGACACCGAAACAGTGCTACAGCTGAACGATTCGATTCGATTTCATCAGTCACAAGTCAGTCGTTTGGCAGGCATCCAGTTACGCAACGGTCGATGTTTCATCATTCGCATGATGTCCTGACGCAGTCATGTCGAATCATCGTTTTGCCTGTCACCCTTACCAGAGTCACTCATCTAAACGGCACGTCAGGCGACGTCTTGTTTGCAAGCCTTAACTTTTTCACACAATGGCGTTATGATGCAACAAGTCTCACTAGTACAGTGTCCCGGGCCTCGGGGCCTGGTGTTCTTCGATTATAGCTTCGCAAACTAATGATAGTCCTTGACTCATTGGTTTGTCCCATTCGGGTCCACCGCCTAAGAAGGCTTCATACGTGTAGCCTAGCTAACCTTATCCATTTGCACATTAGAAACCCTGTAAAACTGCGACCTTTCTGTGTGCCGTTTACTAGAAATCACTAATTTGGGGTTCCTCTTTTCCTTGTCGCATGTATTTAGCATGCTTGTTTTAGAATTCCGTCAAGAAGAGACTGTTAATCACCGTGGTTTGTCGGTTTATGTACCTCGATGACCCACTGAGCCATACTGGGGGTTGTCCGCGCGACACTTACAGAGCCTCATACCAGTTTGGTATATGGGTAGAGGTCTGACGAACCCAGTCCGCTGGCCCTCCAGGCTGGGGTTTTGAACATGTATGGCGGTGTGTTCCGTAAAAGTGGTAGTGTAGTTGTATTTCCATTCCAACACCGCTGCCTTGCGTTTAGGCTTTTGATCCAAAGGTTTTGGTTGAAGACCTCCCGTATAAGTATGGGCGTCCTGGCAGTATCCCAGCCCTCGTACAACCATGATAAAACTGCGACCTGTGTGCCTTTCTGCTTGCCTTAGAATTCCGTCAAGAAGAGACTGTTAATCACCGTGGTTTGTCGGTTTATGTACCTCGATGACCCACTGAGCCATACTGGGGGTTGTCCGCGCGACACTTACAGAGCCTCATACCAGTTTGGTATATGGGTAGAGGTCTGACGAACCCAGTCCCCTGGCCCTCCAGGCTGGGGTTTTGAACATGTATGGCGGTGTGTTCCGTAAAAGTGGTAGTGTAGTTGTATTTCCATTCCAACACCGCTGCCTTGCGTTTAGGCTTTTGATCCAAAGGTTTTGGTTGAAGACCTCCTGTATAAGTATGGGCGTCCTGGCAGTATCCCAGCCCTCGTACAACCATGATATTCACAGATAACAATACTTTCATCCCACATCGGCCGTCGCGTGGTGCCATCAGCCGGGTCGCCTTACCTGCTGCATACAGCAGCGCGGGAAAGCGAAAACATGCAACTGTCTACGTCTCCCTTCTTACTTTTTCACGTTTTCCGTCTTCTATCCTCCCCCGTCTAAATTTGAATACTTTCTCCGCAGGTTCCAGCTCTAGGACTGACCGTTTTGCTCGCCCTGCATCACACTCAGCTGCAGGTTCTGCACGTCTGAGTTCAGTTACAACCCTAAACACCTCGAAGTCTGTTTCCAAACTCCGAAGGCCCGTCTACTTAGCCACCTTTAATGTTCATACACTAAAGCAAGCAGGTCAACAGGTGGCTCTTGCGCGTACGCTGGATTCCCTCTGTATTGATGTATGTTGTCTGTCAGAAACAAGGACGCAGGACGCAAGTACTGTAATCGAACTGACTGCCCCCTCGCTCTCTTCCAGGTTCCGACTGCGCCCCTCTGGTGATGCAGAGGCCGCTGCAGCTGGATATGCTGGGGTGGGTATTGTATTGAGCGAACGAGCGGAAGCGTCTCTGCTTGATTGAATACCCGTTGATAATCGCCTCTGTGAGGTTTGTTTAGCAACGTCTGTGAGGGAATCCAGAGGGAGTGAGGTTCGTCACACCTTGTTTGCTGTCTGCTTACTCCCCAACTGACTATAGCTCTGAATCTGGCAAGGATAGTTTCTATGATGCCCTAGGTACCCTTCTGCAGCAGGCTAAAAGCTCAGATATTGTTGTGGTTGCCGGTGACATGAACGCACGGGTAGGATGACCAAGCACTGTTGAGGCCCGATTGGGTAGTCTTGGATTGGACACGAGATTCACGGATAACGCCGATCGCGTACTTCAAATGTGTGCGATTCACAGTGTCCCTTTTCGGTACGGGTTTCCGGAATAGCGGAAATCGCTTGACAACATGATGACCCCAACAAACCAGTCCCGAATGCAAACAAAGCACATCGCCATCAGTTACCGGTGGCGAGGGTCTATCACAGCCTACTGCTTCTTCTGGAACACCAGCGAGAACTCCAATCATGCACTTGTACGTTGCTGCTTTTCATTTCGCTTTTCAGGTGTACGCAAAACGTGCACCCGCTTAGTCATTGAGAGGCTAGTGGACCCAGAAGTCAAACGAAATTATCAGAACCAGCCCCTCGGACGCCTGCCGGACGGTGCGATGTCGGATATAAACGGCCACTGGGAAAATATATCCAAAGCGCTACTCAAAGCCGGGATGTCTGTTTGCGGTACAACCGAGCCAGTCTCATCCAACCATTGATCTCTGATAGGACCGCGTCTTTGCTGTAGACCTGGCGACAGGTTCCTCCCGGCTGCAATCACCACTCTACCCGACGCATCATCCGACGCCAGGTGAAACTGAGTGGCCGTACTGACCGAGAAGCTTGTGGACCCGAGAGGCCGGAGAAATGGATTATGTGAAGAATGCTGGGAACGTCCGCAAGCTGTTCAACTGGTCCTGGGAAGCCTCTTGTCAGCGAAATAATCAGGGACCAAATTGGTTTCCTGATGTGCAGCAAAGCAGAACGTTTGGACCGCTGGGCACAGTACTTCGAACAGCAATTCTGCTGGCCATCTACTCCCTACAATTCAGAATACTGGCCTTCAACAGAAAGGTGGACCGTAAATATGGAGCCACCCTCAGCTTCCGAAGTGTCCGAATATATTTCCCTACTCAAGAGTCATCGTTCCCCTGGTACTGACGACCTTGACTCGTGAGAATCAAGCGAGATTTCGACCGGGTAGAGGCTGCGTTGACCACATCTTCACACTCCGTCAGGTGTTAGAGCAATGCCACATGTACAGACGACCCACAATCCTGGTATTCCTTGACTTCAAGGGTGCGTTTGATTCTGTCGGTCGATCGGTGCTGTTAACTACACTTGATCAACAGTGTTTGTCCCAGAAGTTTGATAACAAAACCCGATCCCTATATTTGCATACTTCTGGGCGGGTGAGAGTGTATGGTGAGCTCTCTAAAAGCTCCCCTACATAAAGTGGTGTCAGAAAAGGATGTCCACTCTCTCCATTCTAGTTCAACTTCGCCACTGATGAAACAATGAGGCGAACACTTGGCGGTCTTCAAAACTCTGGTGTTCAAATTGTTGCTGGTGAGAGCCTTGTCGATTTGGAGTAAGCAGGATGACATCCCCTCATCTTTGAAGACCAAAGCAAGGCACAACCTCTGTTGAATAAACTCACCACCATCATTCCATCTTTTGGCATGCGCCTCGCACCTTCAAAAGGCAAAGTCCTGCTTCAGGACGTGCCGTCTGTGAACATATCCCTTACAATTCAAGGAGAATCACTGGAGATTGTGGGAAACGTTACATACCTCGGTAGTTGTTTTGGCTCTGACGGAGGTGTGTCTGATGAAGTCAATTTAAGAATCTCAAAGTCTCGAATCACGTTTGCTAATTTGCATCACTTGTGGCGCCAGGCTACAGTAAGGGCTGTTTTGTATGGGTGCGAGACGTTTGCGAACAGACGATTTGGAGCGCCTTCAGGCTTTTGACCACCTATGCCTCAGAGGCGTTGCTGGTTACGGATGGCATCAGCGTGTTGTTAACGGGGTGATCAGAAAACGGGTATTTGGTTGTGCAGCAGGTACTTCAATTCGGGAAAACATCCTGCACCATCAACTGCCGTGGCTTGTTCATGTGCTACGCATGTCGAAACAGCGTATACCGAGACGAGTGTTGTTCCCCATGCCTCCTTCAGGATGGCGGAAACTGCGAGGTTTACAACTTATGGCTTGGTAGAAGGGCGTGAAAGAGGTCACGAAGAGCTTGGGTGTTGTTGCTATCGTACGCCTTCCAGGATGAGGTCCCCGTATCCCCGTCTGCGATTGGCTGGATACGTTGCGAGAAATGGCGGCTAATCGATGTCAGTGGCGTTTGTGCTGCAATTTCCTTTCTAGATTGTCTAGTTGAGCGGTTGGAGGTGTAGGCACCTCAGAATGCTTGACCTAGACCAGCGCTAGGTCCTCTTCTCGCCCATATTTTTCTCTTCTTTTCACTCTAGGGCTTCTAATGTATATATATATATATATATATATATATATATGTATAAACCCTTAGAATTTGTTGGTCGAAAACAGCTGAAGAATCCCAGTGGGCGATTCTTCAAGCTGTTGAATATTTTCAACTTATCATGTCCGCCTTATTGAATTCTCATGTGCTCACGTCTTTTCTATCTTCTTTTGCTCAGGTTGAGAATCAGGTTGCTCGGTTATTATCATGGTATATGTGTTAACGTCTGCCTTCCGCTTTATCGCTTCGGCCACCATCCGTGTCTGTCCTCTGTCAATTCGAGCTGATTTACGTAAGCAACCTTTTTATGTATATGGTGTACTCCACCGTTCAGATTTCAGCGCATCCTCATACAGATGGTATAAACCGTATTTTTATAGGAAGGTTTTCACCACACTACCTACCAAGAAAGAGTACTTTGCACACGATTGTTAGTTTCATGTACCTTTACGACATCTTTACTCACTTTACAAAGGGGAGCACTTACTTTATGAGCCTTCAAATCCTGAAAGTATTAGTCCTGTTGCTGAACAGCTTCCGGAATTCCAAAAGTAACTTTATCCACCATGATTTTTGTACAACCGATCAGGCTAGACGAAAAATGGAAGACGATGCTTAGCTACCGATTCCGCACAAAAGTAAGTAATGCTTTGGATGGTATTGTTTATTCGTCACCAGGAGGAAGAATTTACCGACCAGCTGAATGCCAAGTTGGTGGAGTTGGGGTATCATCCTACCGAAATCTCCACGGGTGCCACAGGTAAAGCTTGGTGGTTTTTTTTTTTAAACGAATTCATGGTTATGTAGTGATTCGGCTGACTATGCTCTTGCGTGCAAAGAAGCGCACAGCGGTAGACCACCCTAAGGTAAGTATCCATTTCGATTTTATTCCATTTGTGGGTATTGTTCTCCTTGTTCTCTGTCGCTACCACTTTTCTGTCTTCCTGGAGTTCTAGGAATACATCTCTTGTCGTCTCCTACACGTACAGTGCCTGACATACCACATACCATACCCACGTGTTGATATTTGGACACAGTGGAATGAGCCACTCTCTCCCTCTAGATGTTCAGTTTCTTTGATATTCTTCCACTTAGGTGACTTCATGGAAATGGCAGCAGTCATTCATATACCTATTTTTCCACTGATAGTGATGTTGTCAGCTTAGCTTGATTAGGGGCTGTTGGCTTGTAAAGAAGCAGCAGTTGAGAAGAAGAGGGACAGTCTTCCTCAGCTCTATCACAACTGCAACGGGGATCTGCAGATTGCAAACATAGCAAACAATAAAATGCTTTGGGGACATACACCACAAATCGGCATCTAGCATTCGGGGATTTGCTCCTGTTTTAGCTCCCGTTAAACTCATCCCAGGGCAGGGAACCAGACCAGCAGAGTAAGATTAAATGAGTGTAAAACTTTGGCCGAAACCACAACAACTCAGCCCACCAAGACGATTTAACGGAATTAGTAGAAAGGGTAGGTTCTCGATTTTGTTACCACGTACTCGTCGTTTAAGTGGCCCTCATTCAAAAAAGTGATTGTTAAGCTGCAATAAAGAGGGTCTGTTTAGGGAGGGAGTCTGGCTCAGTGGATTCCTCTAAAGGCTAACGGTCTTCAAACGTTTAATAGATAGACCATTTGCTTCTCATTCTGGCATGTGGCATGCGTCAACGTTGGATCTATGATACTTCATGTGCACGTTATAGCTTGTCAACTCATCGCTTTCCCCTCCTGGAAGGGATACACATGGTGTGTCTAGCTGGACACTATTTGGGCATGTATTACATGTTACCGAGCAGGTGCAAAGGATGTAGCGGCAAAGGACTGTCGGTACCATACCCAATGACTCCCTTGTCAGAAATTACCTGACATGACCCTGTGTTAGTCGGTCGGTTCTCTCAACGTGTGTGATGCTGCATATTCGAAGATGATTCAAAACATCTGTTATGTGCCCAAATCTGTCACGTTTTGTACTCACATAGCACAACCGATTTCCTGTTGTTATTGTCCAATTTCCTCTTTATTGATGGGCCAACTTCTTGAGGTGGTCATAGTAAGTTCGTGGAAGAAATTCTGGGACACATGCAACCTTCTGTTCGTATCATCATAATCATCGTCGATACCATAACACCAACGCTTGGCACTGATGCTTCGCTGCGGTACAACCATGAATTAATTGAAAGCCTTATTGTGAAGAAAAGAATAAAAGCAGATGGGAAAAGTATATGGTGCTAGCCTGCCGCAACCATGCCCGAGTACATACACCTCCAGACACTGAGTAAGGCAATCGGGATAGAAACTGAAATCGATTAGCGGACATATATTGCAGCACCTCCAAACAGACACGGGGGAATCAAGTGAACCCAAACCTGGAAGTCGAGAGTGTCGACAATACTCAAACTTTTCATAATCCCTCTCATAGAGCTGAGATACTGTCACGTTGCCCA